TATTATTATTATTAATTCAAAATGAATGATTTGGGCAGTTTGAACGCACTGCTTGAGAATAAGTGAACCATTGCTAAGGCAATTCAGACGAAACAAATTATAATTTTCGAGCTTTCCAACTCTCTGAAGCCTATGACTATCATAAGAATGTGTTTGCCAAACAGTCCATTTGGGGAACTAACAAATCTCCATCTGACTGATCTCATCTGGGGAGGAACTGGAGATGTCCCAACTGGCCTCGGGCCAAGGAGGGGACAACAACTAAGATGAGGTTGTCATGATCCATATCTTGGTTTGAGTCAGTGTTCAGTGAGGGAACAAGTTGGAGGAAATGCTACTTTTTTTATAAAAATGGACTCCCAACAGTAAGAACATAAGAACATAAGAAATGCTGGACGAAAAGAGACCAGGGCCATTTAGTTCACCTCCCACCTTCCTGGTGGTTGCATGCACATATATTCCAAACTACCTACCTATTACAGTCTAGTGGTAAAGGATCAGTCAAGAGATCATGAGATTCCTGCCTTGACTTGTGGTCTTTGCTGATTTGGGCTGATCTCACTTGGGTAACAGGTTTTGGGTGTTGCAATTAGCCTTAATATTCCTGGGCTCTAGAGAGGCTAAAATCCCCACTCCTGGTCCAGGGAAACTTACTGAAAGGTATGCATTCAGGCACTAATAGGATCAGGCTTCCCATAGTCAAATAACTTGCCGATACACGCTGCTTGCTCAGGTGGATGTTGAAGATCCCATTGGAAAGGTGAATTACATTACATTACTACCCTTGTTCTAGCCACCAATCCTCCAGACAAAAAATTGATCAAGGCTGTCTGTTTTGACATTGCTCTGTGCAAACTGGCCACCATTTTCGCCTACAAAATCCCAACACTTGACAGCAATGCCCAGTGAACCACTTTGAGACATTGACATTGTAGGCATTGTATCAAATGCAAAGATTATTCTTATTGTCATCATCTACAGGAAGGGTAGTCACTGGTACCAGAAAGGCCCTGGTGTGTGTGTGGAACACATCAAGATCCCGTCAAGAGTCAACAAATCCCAGACTTTGTTTTAGGGGGATAATGAAGCATGGGATATTTAAGAAAGCACAAACAAAAACCATTATCTGTTGCTTTTGAAAATAATCGAGATGGACTTCTGACAATCACTCACTAGTCAGTGAACTACACACCGAGACACAAGTAATTACTCAGGTGGTTTGACTTTTTCTTAAAGATAACTGTTTTTGACCCGGGAAGAACCCACAGACATTCACTGGGTGAATGACCAATTAAACTGGGAGGTTACTGGCCAGGGCACCAGAAAAAAAACTCCGTTCTATGCTCCAGTTGTGTTAGGTGTTCTTTAACATCCACATGGCCTTGGTTTAATGTTCTCATCCAAAAGTCGAACAAAATAAGGGTTTGTCATATGATACCGGCCTCCTATCCGTCACCCAAAAAGCTTCCAGTGAAGTTGACCTCCAAGTGATACCAAGGCCAACCACTAAAAATCTCATAGACCACAGCAATAATAATAATCCTTGCATTTGATATAGCGTTGTTTCATGTCTTCTAGATGTCTCAAAAGAGTTTCACAGAATATACTGTAAAATTAATTGACTGTATACTTTGTGGGCAAAACACGGCAGCCAATTGTGCACAGCAGTGTCCCACAAACAGTCATGTACTGAATTACCGAATTATTATTTTTAAAAATTCTTTTTGAAGGGATTATTACCACCGGAAAAGTGATCTGCCAATCGACTAACAACCAGGTTCCAACTTACTGCTGGGTAAACAGAGGCGTGTGGAGTAAGCAAACTTTCGCCCTGCCTGGGAATCAAACCCAGGTCCTCTCACTTGCGAGGCGAGTACGTTAACCACTAAACTACAGGACTCCACAGTTGAATTGGTCCTCAATCGTCCCATTATCGATTTCAAGGACTTTGCCCTCAATTACAAATCTGGCCACACATTAGCATCTCCTTATCTTTGTGCTCAGCTCCTAATCTACTCCTCTGCTCGGCTAACATAAGCTTGCTGTGTGTGTCCATGCCACTATTGGTTCCTATACCAGTAACCTCGAGCACCCTCTACCGCTCCATCTCAGCCCCTCTCCCCTTGTCTTTACACAACCTTAAAACTCTTTGAACACACTTAAGGCCAGGTGTCCCTTTCCCCATTCCCCCTTGATCGACACCCAATCCTGACTTTGTAAGGAGCTCTGACATGTTACCCTACATGAAAGTCGCTATATAAATGCATGTTGTTATCGCTCAATCAACGTGTAGCATCATTCAGGGTTAAACTAAACAAGGAACTAGTCTGAACTTTCTACCCACGATCCTTATTATCGAGTCCCTTTCAACTGTCCTACACAAAAAGTGCCATACACCTAAGTGACCCTCTCCAGGAGTATTAAGTATTTGGTGGTGAATTGTGGTGGCCATAGCAACATCATTTATTGGTTTAGTTAGTCTTTCCTCCTGTCTGTGCCTTTGTCCCCAGTGGATGTGGAGTTAAGGCACCAAATGATTTATAGGTCAGGGCAGTGGCTTTACCAACAACTCTCAACTATCAGTGCTAGCGTCTCTGGAAAAAAATCAATATCTGTAGAGTTAAGTGCTGGTGCAATGATTGGTGTAGATCTTCTCATGTTCCCTTGCTTGTAGCAAGGAGCCGGATGGCTGGACGGAAGACCTACATGGAAGAAACTGGGAGTGAAAAGGAACTGATGGTAAATGGGAAGAAAGAAAGGAGGAGCTGGGATTAGTGGATAGAGAAGCATGCCGAGCAGGTTAGTCTGCGATATCACTGCACTGCCACAAAGCCAAAAAACAAAACAAATCAAAATAAAAACAAGGTTCACCCCACAACTCAGCAAAAGGAAAAGGATGAGGCCTAAGACTGAACTATAGCAGGTTCTGATAACACTGTGCACCGGTCAAAGGAGGAAATGACTGTAGCAGCTTCATTTTAGGTCTATGTATCTCTGCTCTCTGTCAATGTGCCGGGTTATTAAGTGGAAGGGGAGTTGAAACTGATGCTAAAAACAATCCTTACATACAATGTAGTCTTTCACTTCGAGACGCTTCACAACTACAGAGAATAATAACCTGCGTTGGTGCAGATACAACAGTCGTAATAGGCCATGTGATTATTATCAGAATCAAATGAGCCAGAGCCAGAATCCCCGCATGACCCCCAGGCCATTTAGGTCAAGGACGGGTGGGTCCACAGTGCTGGACCTTCTAGTTAGTGGGAATCAGCAGCAGAAAGTCACGATCTGATAGTCCAAATCCAGACCCTCAGCTTCTCACGACTTCACCATTGAGAAGCGGGCCAGAGGAGTTCTCTTCAACCATCTCCCGTTCAGTTATTTCCTGCAGCCATCATGATAGTATTATAGTTATTGCCAGCTCGGGCGCAGATCGTTGACGCTACTGCCCAGCGCCTTGGGACGTCCTCCCGACGTGAAAGGTGCTCTACAAGTGTAACTTGGTGGTGGTGAGGTGTTGCGTGTAGGGAACTGTCGGCTGGCCAAAAGTGCATTACAATCAGCCTAGGAGGTTCCATTGCCTGAAATCTATCCGCAAACCCCTCCCCTCTCCTGGCTTGGGAAACATATGTCTGGGACAAGACATGGCTCGGATGCAATCCCCAACACCCCCTCAAAGTGCTGAACAGTTTTCCAAGAAGCACTTTTTAGACTCACACATGAACAAAGGCCACTTGAGTTAGGAGTTGGAGGTTCGCTGGTGATCTATGGATCTCCACTCCAGGCTAAGTCAATGCTGTGAGAGAATACTGGTGTGGTGTGGTCTGCTGAGGACCACAACTGGGTAGAAGGACCTACATTAGTGGCTGTTCCAAAGCCTGTTAGTTTCCCTCGGGATCAGTTTAATCCCCAAGATGATTTTCAAACTCCACTTGACCGCTTCCCATTGACTGCCATGGGGATTTCTGGATTTAGCATCTACCCTAATGGAAGTCCATAGGAATGCTCAACCTGACTTGTGTTGCCTCCAGAAAGAACGTTGGTGCCCGGTGGAGAACTCGGCCAGTTTCTCAGCACGTGTGTGTTAAAAGGATTTCCAGCTATCCTGCACTGGTCAGGTTTTCTGATTAATCTGGAAGCTTTGTATTCGGAAAAGTGCAAAAATGTCTTGCTCATGGGGAGGGTAGGATTGGAACCAGTTGATACAGTCCATCTGCTAGAGGGGCTGCTTCAGAACACAACAATACCCTTAATCCAGCACTCAGTTGCCAATCTCAGAGAGACCAGACTGACCGGTGTGGGAAATGGAACTGCCACAATGGTGAAGAAAGGTGATGTAATATTACAACCAATTATGTTACACACCTGATCGGTGGAGGAAAGGGCTCAGCCCCCATAAATTTGAGGTGCAGAATGGGGAATGGGGAAAGTGCTCATTCCCAGAAGACCAACGATGAGCAATGAATTAGCCCCAACTTTTGATGCCTGAATTCTGGAATGATGCTGGTCTCGGCTGTTCACATATATAGAATCATAGAATCCTACAGCACAGGAGGCCATTCGGCCAATAGTGCCTGTGCCAGCTTTTTCAAGTAAGTATGGATATGTGTGAATATTGCTGTTTTGTTTCAGTTTTTAAGAGTTATTAAAAAAAACACATGGGCGCTGACAAAAGAGGAATCTGAAGCCCGAAATTCCACCTGATATTAGCCTTAAGGCCGATTCCCTTAACGTTTCAGTCAGCGCAGAATGTTTTGGTTCGAGTTCTTAAATTCAATCTTAATACAAGAGCTGTGTTTCCTTCCGTTCTACTGATGAACGGCAAAATTGAGGAAAAAATTCTGCGCCATTTGAAGAAAATAGTCTTGAGGCTAAAACCGGGTGGGATTTCAAGCCCCTGAAGGAAAATGTCCGCAATGTTATCAGAACCTTCTATATATCCTGCCGTTAGGTCTCAGCCTAACAGCCAAACCACAAGGCCAAAGCAGAGAAGCGCATACCTTCAGTTTGGACTGAATCTCACGAGCCTTTCTTCGGGCAAGAACCTGCATATGACTAGACACCTGCCGGAAAGAGCAAAGGGGAAGAAAAGGAGAGCCTGTAACCATGGAGATGAACTTCCCCCCGGATTCATGCCGGCTGCACGTACCTTGATGCTTGCTTGGTATTCTCTCACTTTCTTCCTTGCTAACACCTGTATGTGACTAGACACCTAGGGCGACGAGATGATTTGAAGAGAAAGAGAACACAATGAAAGGCAATGGTTCTTCTGTGGCTGCACGCACTGGTATTAATGTGTTAGTAACCCATGGGCATGCCGAGCTTGGCCTTCCGTCACCTCAGCCATTCCGTCCCATAATGCCCTGCGATCGTAGCCATGCACCAACAGCCAATCACTTCAATTGCTACCAATATTCCCAGCATGCATTTCAACGCCGGTCGCTGTGGCACAAATTAGGCCTCTGAGCTCGGGGTACGATTGTTCCGCCAAAAAAAGGCACTTTATTTTTTTTTAATTAGAAGAAACATACTGTTCCTTTCATTCCACTAATCTCTCTGGGTCTACTTAGATCACCTGAAATTCACACCTTAGGTTTTATCAATGGTGTCCTTTGTCAGCAAATCCCTTGGTAATACCACAAGGCGTCAGGGATCACTGCCCTTGCTCAATGTACTTCATTGTGTTTATTTACTTTGGGAAACGTCTTACTCTTTCTCCTCCCCTGAGGCACTGGCTTTTCGCTGGGGTACAGATGCTCGGGCACTCTCTGTATCTCACTCACACTCTAGTACTGAACATCGAGGGTCAACAATGTGGGCTGTAATGTTTGGAATGTTTGGTCCGTTCAACCGTGCGAGGGGTTCAGGATCGGGATTTTAATGGATCTGGACCGAACCGGCAGCAGGAATTAAGTACAAGCTCTGGCTATATATCCAGATTATATATAGAGGGGGAGACACACACACACACAGATCATTAGAGATGCAGAGGATTAGACAGACACTCACACAAACACTCAGAGTGCGAATCTGTTATTCGCACTCTTTTCCTATCTGCAATGGGGCGAGTCCCAATTTGTGTGGATATTGGGCTCTCTTGTATAGATACTGGACTCCACTATTCTCCACCTTTAAACCTACTTTCTGAGAACAATACTGTTTTAAAAAAGATCAAAATTCAATGATTTACATAGGTCCTGGATACAGGATTTAGTTTAGGACTATAGGAACACCAAGGTTGAAGAGGGGCTGAGATCAATCAGCGGTGGAAGCAGGATTCCGACAGAAGTACAATCTCATCATTGTCTACATCAGTGATTCTCAACCTCCCTAATAACTTGGATCTAGAATTCCCAAAGCTTTCCGCTCTGTTGTAGACTAATCCATAATTGCTATCAACATCTCCATTATTATAGCATGCACCTCAGAATTGTAGAAGGCAGACTAGTTGGACTTTGGCTTTTTTTGTTGAGCAATTCCTATGTTCAGACTGTCATCAGTCTTGGAATGGTCATTGTGAAAGGCATGTACAGTATTTGGAATGTATTTTTCAATAAAATAATTCTTGCATTTTCCATTAAGCCACATTGCAAGGTGTGAAGTAAGCTCTACGAATTCTAAGCTTTGAGTTATTTATGTGGCTCCTACGATTCTTCCAATTTTACTTTCCTAGAGATCACAAGAGAGGTTTCGGATGAATAAGGCCCTTCGACCCATCTAACACATCCTTCCAAAATACCCACCCTACCAACCTCTTCCAATTAAATCATCGCTCTATTTCTTAAATGCTTCTGCCATCTTGTTTTATCCATCCTTTCTGGTCACGCACTCCTACATTCTCTTGTGTTCTGCTGCCTTTGTCTACCTTGAGTATAGGCTCTTGATCCCATTAAGCTCTTATGTATGTCCACAAGTTCTCTCTTAGTCTTTTCTTTTTCACAGCTGAAGAGCCTGGCAACACAGGAGCACTGTCAGGAGCCCCAAAAGAGAATGGTGTGCTTAAATAAGGAACTGAACGCACTTACAAATTTTAACCCCACGTCAGTACTTTCAACTCATATAGTCCAGGCTGACACTCATTGGTCCTTTGGATGAGACATTAAACCAAGGTCCTGTCTGCCTGCTTAGGTGGATGATAAACATCCCATGGCGCTACTCAAAAAGAGAATGGAGTTTTGCCCAGTGCCCTGGCCAACAACACCCCAGATCAAACGGCTCATTGACATCACGGCTGTTTGTGGGACATTTCTACGCCCAAGTAGGCCGCCATCTTTGCCTATAAATACAATTTGTGAGATTTAATGGTGGCAGCACTCCCCCATTCTGAGAAGTGGAACGCTGCTCTTCAATCTTCAAACCTGCAGGCTGCCTGCCATTTTCTTACTCTTGAAGTGGTGGTGTTGATCGAGCGTTAGGGGTAATCGTAGGTCTGAGAGCAGCTTTCAAGTCATTTTGTTTGCTTAATATTTGTTGACCAGCCAGAGGGAGTGGTGAGGGGGGAGGAAGAGAAGAGTCGAGAAATGAAACCCACACTTTCCAAGCCAGGAAATGAACTTTCAGTGAGTGAGCAGTGTAGGCTTGAGGCCTAGAAAGCATATCTGCCTCTCTCGGGAGCTCAGTGTTGACACCAGTTGTCCTGTCCCTGTTAACACAACCACAGGCTCAAAACAACATCACAACTTTACCCCATCATTTCTGATCTCTTGGATCCAACTGCAGGTATGAGAAGGGAGATTATCAAAAGGAATTTGATTAATTAAGGAATGGGTTGGGGGGAGGGTGTAATAGGGAGGGGGGGATGTTGCCATCAAGGGAGTCAGGTCAAGGAAGGTGTTTCTATCAGTGGTCACAACTGGCATACTCCCGTGTCATTGACTTGAGATTAAATCACACAGGAAGAGAGCTTCGTTAGCTTCTAAATGCAGGTTACTTTGCGTGAATTCTCCCAGGAGTGTGATCTCATAGAGTAGGTGACACGACTCGCAATTCTAAAGTGTGTCTATTGAATGGAGCGGTCAGCCTGGCCCGCTGGCAGGGTGTGGAGGAGCAGGTCAGTTACTGGAGTAACAATTCTTCCCATTCGGCTCCTGGAAGCCTAACCCCAGTAGTCCTAGCTGGACAAGCAGTGAGAAATATGTCAGTAAATTGCATTGTAGTGTACACAATACAATGTAATTTACATTTATATAGAGCCTTTCATGTTGGGAGGAATGTCTCAAAGAGCATAATCCTGCTGGCAGGGCACCCAAGCTGGTGGGTGGGAGCCCAAGAAGGACTCCAGGATGGAGTTTCAGAGAGCGAGGGCAGAATGGCAGGAAGTCCACTCGCCAATGGTGGGATGGGTAGGGCAGGGAACATGAAGCAGGGTTTTGGTTGCTGAGTGAAGGCAGTGACCGGGTCAGTAGGGCTGAAGGAGTTCATCGAGGTCGGATGGTGCGAGACTGTGGAGGATTTTGAGAGTTTGAACAAGGAAGTTGAACTTGATCTGCTGGGGGATGAGAAGCCAATAGAATCGAGAAAGGATGGCGGGGGATAGGCTTGTGGCGTCTGGTGCGGGAGGAACATGGGTTGCAGATTGTCCTGGATAATCTGAAGCTTGTGAAAGGAAGGTCTGGAGAGTTCGGTGAGCAGGAGAGGAAAGTGTGAAATGGCAAGCGACGTGGTTTAGCTGGTTAAACTCCAAAGCACACTCTGGGGTTCCCCCAAGTCGTGCCTCTCGCCAATCTACGTTCCAGACTAATGTAACCAGTGTGCGTCCCTCCAGGGAGAAGCTATGCACTCCATTCTAGACACACAGAAATTCCCATCCATATACTCTAAGCGTGGTGATGTGTTTTGGCATGTGCCAGGCACCTGGCTGGCCAAAAGATAATCCCTAAGACTAGTAAACATGGAACTGCCTCAATTTGGAAAAACACATTGCTAAATTGTTTAGCCTCTGTTGGAACAGCTGTGTCTTTCTTTCTCATGGCATGCTCACTCTCTTTGCCCCACCACCTTGACAGCTTTCAAGCCCTTCAAGCAACAGCCAAAAGCCACCTTACCCCTTGCCCCCAAAGCAAAGCCTCCTCACCCAGCTTTACCTGCTTCCTCGTTCGTGTTTTCCCAGTCCGTAGCTTGATGTATCTGGCTATCAACTCATTGCGGCCTGCCAATGAAACAAACACAGGAATGAAGAACACTTGAAAATGTACGTTAGGAGAAACCGCAAAAAGCAGGGACCTCCGATCTTTAACAATAATCCTTGCATTTGAAACAGGGTTATCACATCATGAGACATCTGAAAATGCCTCACAGGAAGAGCAGGACTGTGTATTTATCCCACAAACAGAAGTGAAAAACAGACCAATTTTATCTGAGGAATTGTTGGCCAGGACACAGGGAGAAACTCCCTCCCTTCTCTTTAACATGAGATCCTTAAATCCACCTAAGAAGACAGACAGGCTCTCAATTTAGCAGCTCATCCAAAGAACATCACCTTCAACAATGTAGTTAGTGCTCCCCCAACACTACATTGGAGTGTTGGCATAGACTATACGAGTGAGGGTAAAATTTGTGAGATCTGTAAGTGCGTTAGGTATCTTATATAAGCGCCGTTCTCCTTCAGGCTCCTAGACAGACACATAAGAATAATCCTTGCATTGCTACAGCGCCATATCACGTCGTTGAGACGTCTCAAAGCGCTTCACAAGTATACTGTAAAGTGGATTCACTGTGTATTTTGTGGGTGAAATGTGGCAGCCATTCGCACACAGCAGTGTTCCACAAGCAAACATGAATGAGTGACCAATTTTATTTGGGGATTGTTGCCCAGGAAACCAGGAGAGAGAAACTCTGTTCTCTTTTCGATTAGTGCCATGGGATCTTTAACGTCCACTTGAACAGGCAGACGGAACCTCGGTTAAACCCTGTGACTTGAAGCACTTCAGCTTTGAAGAAGAGAAGTGGGGAGAGTTTGTAGACATGTGGAAGATGGCACTGTACTGGGATGTCTGTCTAGAACATGAATTCAAAGTCGCAAGCAAGAGGACCTGGGTTTAATTCTTTGCCAGGGAGAAACTTTGGGCAAGTTTGGTTACTCCACACACCTCTGTTTACCCAGCAGTGAGAAGGAACCCAGTTTTTAGTCGATTGGTGGATCTCTTTCCGGGGGTAATAATCCCTCACCCCCCAAAAAAAAATTGTCTCTCATGGCTGTTTGTGGGACACTACTGTGTGCAATTGGCTGCCGCGTTTCTCCCATGAAATATACAGTCAATTCACTTCACAATATATTCTTTGAGACTCCTCAACGACGAGGTAAATGCTATATCAAATGCAAGGATTATTATTATTAGGAGGTGGTGGACATGAAGCAGGTCTGAGTTAATTGGAGGGGAGGAAGGAGGCCAGTGAGCTGGTGATCAGACAGATAGAGGCTGGAGTGAGTGGGAAGCTTTCATTGCCAGCTAAGTGGTTTTAAAGTAGCTACAATTAACCTCAGGGGCTTAAGATGGGGGGAAGGGAGGGATTTTTTAAAATGCACAAACATTGCCTCTCCTGTTTTCTATTCACTAAACATTGTAGGATGTGAACACAAGGAACCTGGTTATGATTCTCTCCCACCCCCTCCACAGGCGGACACCTGCTAGCACTCACTGTTAAGACGCACATAATTTATAGCTATGTTACATCCAGAGCCAAGATTTGCCAAATTTAAGATTTCCCGATAATCCTTATTTGGGTCCCAAGAATTTCGATTGAGGGTTCTTCCAGAACCTACCCAGATTCAGCCTCGCAACCAAATAAATCCTTTATTTAGTCGGTTCTTCTCTGCTGCGTATCCACTCCACAGACTCCAACCAGGTTTGAGCAGTCTCCGTTGGCTCATCGTTTCCTTGCTCTGTTTACACTTCACACAGGTCCAGGTCACTCTCTATGAGAGGCAACTGCAGAAGGTTCTGGGATGTGGGGAGAAGGCAGTGGAGTGGAACTAGATGGCTCGGGTTTGATAGGCCAAAGGTCTTTTGTGCTGAGAAATGTTCCATTCACACAGGCAATCCGCGTTTGTAGTCCCTTCTGTTGTGCTGTAAACTGCGTCAGGCTCCGACACTGTTAAGCCCTCCAAGAAACTGCCCCGCATGAAGGGCGCTATTTTAATAATAATAATCCTTGCATTTGATGTAGCGCCTTATCATGTCTCCCGAGATATCTCAAAGCACTTCACTTCACAGAATATACCGTAGCGTGAATATTTTTTGATTATTTTTTGGATGAAACGCAGCAGTCAGTTGCACCCAGCAAGTTCCCACAAACAGTCGTGGATTGAGTGACTAAATTATTATTAATTTTTAAAAAAAAAATTTTTTGAAGGGATTATTACCCCCAAAAAAGCAATCGACTAACAACCAGGTTCCTACTTACTGATAGGTAAACAGAGCCAAGTTGTGGTTCAAAACTGCATTGTGGGATTCTCGCCAGGCCTAGAGTTGGAGGGATTCAGATCAGAGGAACTGTCCTGGACGTTGGCGGAAGGGCGGGGGGTGGCAAGAGAGGGAGTGCAATCTGGCACTGAGCTGTCAGGAATCGTATTGGAAGGGGAGGAGTTCAGTAATATCCAAGCCAATTCTCTGCAAGTTTTCCCAAGTTACAACTAGTCTGTGTATCAATAGTACCTTTTCAGGCAGGCTGAACCCTCAATGCTCACATTCCTCCCACTGCTAACGCCTGAGACAAACCGGCCACACTTCAGTGTACTTGGTAGCAGGCACAAGGTCTTTGTTTCCAGACCAACCTGTAATCAGTGGCTTGATGTTCAGGTGTGGGGAGTGTATACGGGGTGTAAGCTCTGCACCAACTCCAGCAACCGAACATTGTAAATGTGGTGAATGGTGGTGAGACTGCCGCAGGCATGCTGTCGTCAGTAAAGATCTGCTCAGGTCTCTAATACTCACTCTCTCTAAAACCCGTACCCCCATCCCACCAGTCCTAGTCAGGCTCCCTATTACAGAACTGATCAACCTCAAAATCTTCAACAACAACAAAAACAGAAGTCTCTGGGAACACTCAGCATGGACCCGAAACACTGACTCACTTTCCTTTCTCCAGGGATGCTGCCTGACCTGCTGAGTGTTCCCAGCCACTTCTCTTTTTGTTTCAGATTTCCAGCATCTGCCATTTTGCGTTTTGCTCAAAATCTTCATATTAGTTTACAAATCCCTTCACTCCCCGGCACCTCTGTACCTCTCCAACCTGTTTCCTACTTACTCCGCCATCCATCGCCTCCACACGGTCGGCTCCAGCCTCCTGCTTGTCCCTCATCTCCTCTGCTCCATCATCGGACCAAAACTTTGGAACTCTCCCTCGATCGCTCCGCCTTGCCCCCTCCTGCCCCATTTTCAGATCATGCCCAAAGACTTTCCTCTTTGACAGTTCTTAGTCACCTCCCCCCTGCTCGGAGTCAGATTACACCAATGTGAAGCGCTCTGAGACGCTTTCCTGTGTGAAGGGGGTGCTGTATAAATGCAAGTTGTTTCTGTACAGTAGCTTGTTTCTGTACTGTTCCTCAGGTCACACAAGTCTGCAACACCCCCCAGCCCTGAAACTGAGAGAATCTTGGACAAATAAAGATCAGCCTTCCCTTATTCATCACATTCCTGAAATTCCTCAGGATTTACAATTGCAGTGAGACGTCTGATGTAATTTGTTCAAAATAACCGCGAAGGTCACAATCAAACCCACTTTTTCCCGTGAAAAGTGCATCACTTTAACCCTGGCTGAGCTGCCCAAGTGAAACTAGTCACTGATTTTCCTATTAATTTCATTCTACTAGTCATCGTTTGTGGAGTCCCGTAACTCAGTGGTTAGAGTCCTCGACTCGCAAACGAGAGGACCTGGGTTCGATTCCCGAGCAGGCCAGAATCTTAGACAAATTTCCTTACTTGACATGCCACTGTTTAACTAGCAGTGAGTAGGAACTCGGTTGTTAATCGATTGGCAGATCACTTTCCTGAGGTAATAATCTCATTAAAAAAACAGTCAATATTAAATCCAAGACTGCTTGTGGGACACCGCTCTGCGCAACTGGCTGCCGCGTTTCACCCGCAAAATACACAATCAATCCACTTTACAATATATTCTGTGAAGCGCTTTGAGACGTCTCAACGATGTGATAAGGCGCTATATCAAGTACAAGGATTATTATATAATCAACACCACAGTGAACTCCATGACCGGCCGGCTCTTAATCCTCACCCACAATAACATCTCAGTCTACAGGAGCTTCCTCTCTTGGCGCACAAGGCACAAGGTTCCATCGGTGTTGTACAATCTCTGGTGCCTGGTTCAAGACTCTATTCTGGCTAAATTGGGGCTTTTTCCACTGGTGCAGAGCAGACTGAGAAGGGATCTGACCCAAAGCTTCTGAAACACTAGAAAACCACGACAGGGTAGACAGGGAAACACCGTGTCCTTAGGAACTGCTTGAAAACTTATGAACCACAGAAATCCACGACACAGCAGGAGGCCACTCTTCAATGTGTTAGCATTGTTGTTTGCTCCTCCAATTAGATGTCCAATCTCTCCTAATCCCAATTCATCTATCCACACCATCATTCCCAAAGCAGTATACACACCTTTCCAATTCTCATCTCTAGTTTTAAGTCTTGTGATTCCCCATGTTTCTGGTCCCTCTATCTAAGGGAAGAGTCCCTCAGTAATTATTTTTTGAATTCCTCTCAATACGCAATGCAAACCGGGACTTTTCAAAATGATACAAGGCTTTATTAATAATAATAATAATCCTTGCATTTGAAGGATGCTTTATCATGTTTTCGAGACATCTAAAACAGTTTCATAGAATATAATGTAAAGTGGGTGAAACGCAGCAGCCAGTTTTATTTGGGGGATTGTTGGCCAGGACGCCGGAAGAAACCTTCTTTTCAAATAGTCCCATGGCATCTTTACCTGAACAGGCTTTAACATCTCATCCGAAGGACGGCACCTCCGACAACGCAACATACCCCCAGTACTGCATTGGAGGGTCAATTTAGACCATGTGATTACAAGTGGGTCTTGAACCCACAACCTTCTGACTTAGAGGCGAGAGCGCTACCACTGAGCCAGGCTGACAAAGGCTTTATAGTTATTTCTTTCCGAACTCAGGAATGG